ATGTTCTGCCCTGTGTGGTATGTGTGTATATTGCATATACATGCTTTCTTGCATGTTTTATTGTCACCATGTCGCCTTGATGAAGGGATCCTACGCGGACCGAAACATTGGCTTATTTGACTGATGTGACGAATTACCAATAAATGAGAGTACTTTTACATGTTTAAATACTGACTGCTGGTGACTTCTTCTTTGTTCTTCTGTGGATCTACATGGTGCCATCTATGGTTGTCACTGCGAGCACCACCATGTTCATTGTGGACGCAGCACTGTTTGGGGTACAGCTGGTATCTACATCTTTCCATGTTGTGGTATTCTGACATCAAGGGACGGCAGCTGTCAGAATACAATAGCCGGGCAGAGGAGGTTCTTTTAGGTTTTTTTAGCCTGCATGCTGAATGAAAAAGGTCTATAGGCATATAGCCAGCTTTACACTTTCACTGTGGTCCTTGCATTGTAAAAAAAGGTGACCTGTGGGAGTTTGTCCCCCTTTCATCTCTCCTTCAAATGTCATCCTCAGAGGAGTAAGAGATCCCTCTGTCAAGGTGCAGTTGTGCTGATGTTGGCAGATTAGAGAATTCATCAAATTCCATCACACACATCTTTGCAGATGTATGCTGATTAGCTTCTATGTTTTCTTTTCAAACTTAGACTATAAAAATCGCTGCGGTACAATATAAAACAATGACCTGTGACTAATCCAGCTTGGCCACCTCTGGCTTGTGCAGGATGTGTTCTTATTCAGTCAGCTCTGTCGACGTGTAGCAGTAGTGAGAATTCAGCACATACTCCTCCGTTCCCCTTTATCTGCTCTGAATTCCTGAGGTTTCCAGATAATGCGTCTGAGCTGACTCTATGGAATGATTCACCAGGAGCTCAGCGGTAAGCGCTGCACTTTTTCTACAGCAAAATCAAAAATAGCTGGAATATAAGTTGGGGCTCATTAGACTTTCCAGCCTTTCAGATAACTGATTGCAATGGGAATTGTTTGCATACTTCTCAGAGGGGATGTTTTAGGCTGTACATGACTAAACCTGTCACTAGGGATGTTCAGATACCAGTGCCAATACTTGTCATTTTCACGAGAACTACTGGGGTTGCAGCGTTTGCAGCTGGGACCTGGCTCTGGCGCTCCACCGCTGTCCTGAAATCATTAGTCTTTATTGTTTTAGACCCCTTTCACATATAGCGACATACCTTTGCAGCGGCCGGGATAGCGCGACTTTCGGGGCGACGTTCCAGCGACGATCCAGCGACGGTAGCGCGACCTTCTCCGTCGGGCTCCATAGAAAAAAAGCAAAATCTGCCGAAAAAAGGGTCCGGTAGAAGCGACTTGCGACCGCGACGAGCGACGCGCGACATGGAGTTAAGACCGCTCCATTGGATAGCATTGGCCGGCGACTTCTCGCGATATCGCGCGGCAAAAATGCGCGATTTTTGCGGCGGAAATCGCGCGACAAGTCGCTATATGTGAACGGGGCCTTAGAAAAACTGACACTTGACAATAAACAAAAATGTATTAGTACTTGTATCTGTGAGGACTTGGACAAGTATCAGTACTTGTACTTGGAAAAATGGTATTGGTGTATCCCTTATTTATATTTATAAAAACAAAATCATACATTAAAACAGAGATGTACAAATCCCAGGAGCTCCGTATGCTCCTTAAAAATGACAGCTGCCGCCTAACTTTTGAGTTTTTCTCTAGTCCTAGTCTTGGAGCTGGAAAAGTATCTGTACTTGTACTTGTGCCGAGTAACGTACTTGGTATCTGAACATCCCTACCTGTCACCTTTATTACCTGGTGTACTGTGGCAGCTCCTTGTCTTGGGATTTGCCTATTTCTTAATCAACAGCATTGGAATTAGGAAAGGTGAAAAGTGATGACCCAGAGCAAAACTAAAATCGGCATGGACTATAAGGAGACTGCTCCTACCTTGTTTGCCTACCAGAATAAAGTGGCTATTTGGAAGGTCCGGGTACTGTCAGGTAGGGTGCAAGCGTAGCCTAATGACTTTGAGAAAGTCAGTAGTTGCATAACATTTTTGAGAGGCTGCAGGAGGGGATCACAAAGCTAGGTAGTAGTTAGAAGGTATGGTGCCAGCTGAACAGTGGCTGTGTAAAGCTATCTACAGATGTTAGACAGCGAACAGACTCAGCATGCTTTCTAACAAAACGTTGTTCTACAAACATTCTAGGTCTTTCTGGCCGAATGGAGAGGAAAGGGGGGGAGCACTGCAGGGGCCAGCTTTCTTGGAAGGAAATTGTGAAAAATGTGTCGGTTGGCTAAATGACATTCCTCCATGAGCAGGCTCTGTCAGGGTCATGTAGGGGCTACAAACAAATGATAGTTTCTTGAACAACCGTAAATGACCTCATTGAGTGAACTTTCTCCAACGTCTTAGACACCTTTTATACCTTAATATTGGAGTGCAGGTTCATTTTAGGGTACCCATAGAAAATTGAATAGTCTGGCTGCTTTAGAATCTTGTTAGAAAAGTTGTCCTCTTGCTAGTTTTCCCTATTGTAAGAGGTGCCTGCAGGGAAAGGCCTCAAACACACGTGGTCACCCAAAGCCACCCTTTTAAGTTCAGGAATGCACTGACCAACATGTGTAAGGACAGTCAAACTGTGACACATTTTTCTGATTTTTTTTTTTCTTCACCCTACAATTTTATCATGGTGGTCACCGTCCGCTATATAGTCGCAGGGGTCTGACTATACAGTGAAAGACCCATTTAAGTAATCCAGGTTTTCAGAGTTTCTTTTAACACCTTCTGATTTACAATGTGCGCATACCTGCTAATCTGGCCCGTGTTATTTCATAACATGTACAGGGATTTGCATAAGTATTCACTCCCTTGGACCTTTCTACTGGAATTCAAATGTATTCAACTGAGATATTATGCCATTGATCTACAGAAGAGTTCATAATGTAGAATTGGACAAAAATTCCAAACTTTCCCAAATTATAAGTATTCATCCCATCTACGGTTCAACCCATAAATAACCTCTGGTGCTACAAATGTTTATAGAAGTCACATAAATAGTTGAATGGAATCTACCTGTGTGCAATATAATTACACACAATTTAATTTTGTACACAATTTTAGTGTGATCTTAGAATAAATACACCCGTTTCTGATTGACCCTAGAGTCTGTTAAAGAATTATTATTATTATTATTATTATACAGGATTGATATAGTGCCAACAGTTTGCGCAGCGCTTTACAATATAAGGAAGACATTACAATCACAATACAATTCAAGACAAGATGGTAAGGAAGGCCTTACACGAGAGGGCTTACAATCTAAAAGGGAGGGGGAAGTGATACATGAGGAGGTAGCTGTGTGGGGATGAATTGCTTGAGAATTTGATGGTTCAGTGGTTAGGTTGAGGCAGGAGAGGCTTCACTGAAGAGATGAGTCTTTAGGGATCGCCTAAAGGCAGTCAGAGTGGGAGATAGACGGACAGGTTGGGGTAAGGGGTTCCAGAGGATGGGAGAGACTCTAGAGAAGTCCCGGCGAGCATGGGAGGAGATGGCGAGGGAGCTGGAAAAGAATGTATTTAAGGAAAACAAACATCCTAAAAATCCAGGAGCTTCCAAGTCTGTAATAAAGTTCTGGAGAAACACTAATCAGATTTAGTATATCTGTAAAAAATAAATCAAGGCAACTGGACTTGCTGTATTTTTCTTGAAGACGTTTTGCTGGTCATCCGACTATAAGAGAAGGCTTGTCAGATGACTGTGCTCTGAGGCATATTCAAAGTATAGGATATTGTTTTAGAACCTAAATGAGAATAGGTCTGTAAAGGTTCTCATTCATCCAGGTCATGGTACATCTGTAAAAAATAAATCAAAGCAACTGGACTTGCTGTATTTTTCTTGAAGAGGTTTTGATGGTCATCTGACAAGCTTTCTCTTCTAGTTGGATGACCAGCAAAACGTCTTCAAGAAAAATAGATGCTCTCCTATAAGATAGCAAATCATGGGTCAGGTTTTGAACTATGAATTAAAATCTTTTGGCACAAATGTCCACGAATACCAGCCTATATGAACCTTTACTGTATATCCTCTACTCATTCATTAATAATTTCAGATCTACATCTGCTGGGGTTAAAGCAGTTCTCCTGGATTTACAGCAGGGCTACCCATGCACTGCAAGTGTTAACTGATCACTTTGGTCTCGGGAATGGAGTAAAGAAGGTACAATCACTCGATCCTGCAGCAGTCAGCGCTCACGCTGTGGAATGTTCCTCGGCATCCTTACATCTAATGCAAGTGAATGGACCTGCATTAGACGCGATGATGTCAGCAGGTCTTAGACCGCTGGAGCCCGGGGGAAAAGAGGCTGCTGGGACCGGTGTAGCAGCCAGACAGTTTCAGGTAAGCATATTTTCTTTCTTTGGATCCCTAGACCAAAACAAGCGGTTGACTCTTACAGTGCAGAGGTTGCCCCATCGCAAGGGTTAACTTTTGAAAATCCTGGAGTTCCTATTTAGGGAAATAGTTTGTGGTGTAACCCAAAATATTGAGTGTGGCCAGGTTTTATGGTTTAGGATTTTTATAAAGAGATTCAGGGAAAGAGCTTGCTAACTTTCTCTGCCACAAAGGGGTTACATATAACATTTTTACAACTGATCAGAAATGTTAAATTGCCCGGAATGTATTTTCCGATATTACCTCTAAATTTTTGTGAAGTACGCTACTGTGGAGTGGAGGAGAAACATTTCTGAACACATTCCAAGAAAACTTTCACACCAAAGCTCACATTTAAAACCATGGAGGAGGCTTTCAAGGTTGAGAAAAATGAAAGCAAAGTCGTGAAGTGGCAAAGATGCCTGAGAAGCCAACGTGTGAAATTTTCTTTTATGAGCATTCAGTGTGAGAAGCCTGCGATAATCAGCACTAACGGTTATTCATAAAAGGGTGAAGAGTTTGGAGAAGGCAGGAGAAGTGAACAATCTAGGACAACATAGCTGAACTGGAAAGTGAGCTGAATTGGAGAATGTTTCCAAATCAGCTATTTTGGCCTAAATTGTTCACTTCTCCCGCCTTCTCCAAACTCGTCACCCTTTTGCAGTGTTTTGCTGTGCTGCATATTTCTTGCTGTGCATTGTTTAAATAACTTAAAATAGGTGCTGTCAGTGGATGCTTTTTCAGTGTCTTGGTGTCAGTGGATGCTCTTTCCGTGTCTTAGTATCGGTGTATACTCTTTCAGTGTCTAGCAGGGCTATTCACTAAAAGGGTGAAGAGTTTGCAAAAGGTGGGAGAAGTGAACATTATAGGACAACATAGCTGATTACATAGCTGATTAGGAAAAATTCTCCAATTCAGCTCACTTTCCAGTTCAGCTATGTTGTCCTAGATTGTTCACTTTTCCTGCCTTCTCCAAACTCTTCATCCTTTTAGTGAATAGCCCTGTTGGTGTCAGGGGATATGCATTCAGTGTTTTGGCGTCAGTGGATGCTCTTTTATTATCTTGGTGTCAGTGGATGCTCTTTTAGTTTCCTGGTGTCAGTGGATGCGTTTTCAGTGCCTTGGGGTCAGTGGATGCTTTTTCAGTGTCTTGGTGTTGTGGATACTCTTTCAGTGTCTTGGTGTCAGTGAATGCTCTGTTAGTATCTTGGTGTCGGTGGATGCTCTTATAGAATCTTGGTGTCAGTGGATATTCCTTCAGTTTCTTGGTGTTGGAGGATACTCTTTTAGTGTCTTGGTGTCAGTGGATATTCCTTCAGTTTCTTGGTGTTGGAGGATACTCTTTCAGTGTCTTGGTGTCAGTGGATTCTCTTTTAGTATCTTGGTGTCAGTGGATATTGCTTCAGTGTTTTGGTTTTAGTGGTACTCCTTCAGTGTCTTGGTGTCTGGGGATACTCTTTCAGTATCTTTGTGTCAGTGAATACTCTTTCAGTATCTTTGTGTCAGTGAATACTCTTTCAGTATCTTTGTGTCAGTGAATACTCTTTTAGTATCTTTGTGTCGGTGAATGTTCTGTCAGTGTCTTGGTGTCAGTGGATGCTCTCTCAGTGTCTTAGTGTCAGTGGATGCTCTCTCAGTGTCTTGGTGTCAGTGGATGCTCTCTCAGTGTCTTGGTGTCAGTGGATGCTCTCTCAGTGTCTTGGTGTCAGTGGATGCTCTCTCAGTGTCTTGGTGTCAGTGGATGCTCTCTCAGTGTCTTGGTGTCAGTGGATGCTCTCTCAGTGTCTTGGTGTCAGTGGATGCTCTCTCAGTGTCTTGGTGTCAGTGGATGCTCTTTTAGCATCTTGGTGTCAGTGGATATTCTTTCAGTGTCTTGGTGTCAGTGTTAGTCTTTTGCAGACAGACCTTTTCAGCTGTTATCGTTGAACTGTCAGTTCTTTATAGCAGCAGAGTTCTGTGTACCGAGTCATTCCACCTGCTCTGCATCTAGAGTAAATATTTGCATTTCTAGCGCTTTGCCTGCAGAGCCGTATCCCTTATTATTGCTGTTTATTGAACTGAGGCTTTTAGTCTTGCAGCTTATCTTTTAATGAATGTATGTATATTATACCTGCTGCAAATACAGGACATACCCCGCTCCTAACTCTCATACAGTGGAAATCCAGGCAAAGATTACAGTTTATAGTCACCTCATATCAGCTTTAACATCTTAATGGAGTTTCAAAGGTCAATTTGGAATGTTTTGAAATCTCCATTTCTCCCATTTACTTGTCACTCACTTGCCTTTTGGCCAGTGATGGAGTGGCACCCATTGAGTAAGGAATTAAATGCATTTTATTAAGTAATTGCCTCTTTTGTAATTAAAGCTGAACTCCAGGCTTACCTTTTTCCCCCGCACTTGTAGCAAGTACTCTCTCTGAAACTGATTACTCTCAATTCCATGCAAACTTGCATCGCCACAATATAACCCTTTTGAAGTTGCACCAGCTATCGTCATTTCCTGTCTGAATGTCCATCATCATTCTTCAGTCACTTCTCCACCTGATCCCTACTGTTGTTGGCCCAGTGTTCACGGCTCTTAGCTTTTTCACAATCAAGCATTTTGTTCCGTGCACTTTAAGTAAAGAACACATCCCCAGCATCCCTTTTAGGTGTGCCTGCAACCAGTCAACAGACTGCACAGAACCCACTGCACTGCACAGTCCGGAGCACCCACTGGATAGTTTGGAGAGGCAGGTACATCTAAAGGAATATTGGGGATGTGCTTTTTGAAAATAGATCCAAGGCAGAAAGCTGTGACGTTTGCAGAAGCCTGCTGGCCTCTCCCACCAAACTTGGAGCAAAGACCAGCAGACAGACCCAGTGATGACGTGACAAGGGTATTTTAGAGGGATTGCAGTTTTTTATCATTCCCCACTTTGACGTACTGTGACCTCCCCCAAAACCCCATTTCCCAAATAAAACACACCAGACTTGTATGGAGTATACAAGGCCACAGCAGCCACTGTATTTTCTTTAATTAAATACAAAATTAAATACTTATATTATCAGAAAAACAACATACCCCATTAAATAGTACATGAAGTAACTAGGAAAACCGCCTGATAACCTGTATCTGCAACTTCAGATGTCTAATAATGGGCCCCCAGCCGCAACACCACCGCCTCGGGGACAACTATCTGTTAACCTCAGACACATCTAGCCCCAAAAATAAGTGATCAAAACAGTTGCCCAACACTTAAAGGACACCACACCTATGATGGGTCCCCAAGCGTTCTCAATGAACACACAGCATCCCTTCCTCCTTCAAGGACCCCAAGCCGCCCAGAGACTGCTGTGACCAGACAAACCACCTGAACCCAAACAGAAAACAAAGAGAAAACATACAAAACAAAATTGAAAACAAAATGTAAAAAGGGCAGCGGGTGGGAAGGAAAAACCTCCTGGCTAAAACTTCTTCTTCTGGAAACTTCCTACACTCCCCCTGGATCCCACCCTTGGAATTCCCACCCTTTTACAACTTTCCTCCAATCCTGTAAGCGACCCCTCCTTCCATACTTTCTTTCCTTAACCATTTAATTCATCATATACCTGTCCCTCTGCACAATTCCCTTTTATTCCTGGTGCTCCATGCCTGTCTTTACTGGATCCCAAAGCAGGTATTAACTGATAAATACAAATTCATTAATTAAAAAAATGTATTTGCATATTGATCGGGTGGAACAAGGGAAGGTATTCTATACCTATACTACACTTCTGCTTTAAGGAGTGCATCACTTAAGAAAACTGAGAGGTACTGGTATAGCAGCACAATGCAAATTCGGTCAACGCCTGCAGCTCGGGTGCGCAAGTGTCAGCCCCGGAATTGCTGACAGACAAACCAGTCAGATGTCAAGATGGAGGTTGGTGTCATGAGTCATGAAATAATGAAATCACGTGTGCATCCGATTACACGCAAAAGTGAGCAAGAACGTACGCTGGCCGATTTACGTAGGACTGTACCCTTGATGAATAGGAATAATTAGCACGTCTCCAAAGAACTGATTGGCCATTGTGTTTTATGGAGCAACGAGGCCGCCAGTTTATTTGTAAGCAGACGCAGAGCTGAGAGCTCCTTTCAGAATGTCCTCTTACGTGGGATCTCGGGTTTGGTAAAAAGGCGTCATTGCGTCTAAATTGTCAACAGGTGCTTTATCCAGTCTGCCTACGTATTACGCAGCCTTGTGAGACTCTAATTGCCATCTTGTGTAACAGATAGTAATTTCCATATTAAAAACTGTGGCAACAAACATTTTGTATTTTGCCTTGTGACGCACTCTGCCCATATGTAGAGCCGGATAAATTCTCCAACTTGTGTCATGCATCCCGCTGGAACTGGACAGATTTGTCAGATGGATTGTTTGCAGGAATAAACGGTCATTTTTTATAGAGTATAAAAATAGTTTGGAATACGTCCTCGCACTGCATCAGCGGAACTGTAGTCTTTTCGATTTTTCTTTTTTTAGATAA